TTTATTAACTCAGTACAGTATATAAACCCAGTGAATAGTGGCCAATTCAATTGTTGTTTATTAAATTGTGTGAAGATGTGCTACATTTACATAATACATTAACTATGGCTTACTGTTAACATTAAAAATGCTTACAGATTAGACTTGATTTATAATCAGTTGCTTAGTAACCATTCAAAGTTACGTCTTCTCAAAAGCTACTTTTGACTTGATTTTAAAGTTATGACAGCTGCACCTGCAATAGTCACATGATTATATTTTGGGCACTTGGCAACCAGTTCACCTTTATGGCTGTTTGCAACATTGTGAGGCCACATGGACGTGATTTTTGACATATATTGTTGGTTTCAAGTGTTTACTTCTCGTTTCCAGCAAAACATGCCCATTGGGTAAAATCAGTTCACTTAACCACCATGGAGTTTGCTTCATTGCTACAAAAAGATCCTAAAATCAGGTCCAGTTGTGTGGCAACCTGCTTAACAACCGCAACAACTTACAACTATAATTATGGGCTCGATTATGGTTGTCAGTTGAGGACTACCTATGCTTAATAAATAAAATGAGTATGACATAGTAAACCACAGCCAATGCAGTTTGCCAACCCACTTCTTTTTGCACGATCTCCCAGTAACAGTCAAGGTGACTGGCTAGTTAATATTTTCTGGTTTTTTAATTTTGTATTATCATAACATTCAACACTAAGAAGATTAAAGTTGACCACCAAGCATGGAGTGAGAAAAAGACAGCTGCTTTGGTTTCAGAATGAAGATTTTCTGTGCCCACATAAAAGCTTAAAAAAAACAAAAGCAAAGCAGCAGAACTTCTCTTAATTTAACTTCATTTCCCTGGAAAGCTACTGACTGCTTATTAAAACCATTAGTCCTAAGCCACAGCATCAGCTGCTTAATCAAGGACAAATCAATTTCACTAACTGTTAAATCACCTGTTATCTAGCCACAAAGGTAAAAGAGCATTGTGTAACATCGAACTGTGGTTTACATTTATGCAGAATCCAAGCCTTTCACCAGTCTTTTGAATGTCTGGGAGGACAAGCAAAGAAGCAGCACAAAAAGTAAGATATCTCATCCAACAATGGGGGGAAAAAATTAAAGGAAAAGCATCCATACTTGAACCGTCCTATTTGAAAGATATAGAAGTATTTTTCAATTATTAATGATACATACCTTAATACAAATACCGCAACCAATACATAATGTTTCAGAAATCCATGCTATTTTGCATTGTGATGTGACTTCTATGCACAATTTTCCTGAATAAAAAAATTAATCAGAACAAGAATTATTCAGAGCAGTATTAGCTCTGATCAAAATATAATTTTGTAAACCAGGGGTCCCCAACCCCCAGGCTGCAGCCCATTCAGAACCAGGCCATACGAGTGGAAGGTGAGTGTGCGTGCGTGCGCAGTCTTATTTGCATGAGTGGCAGGGGCTTGCATGAGCAGTGCACACTTGCGCTTGTAGCCCTTGTTGCGTGAGTGGTAGGCGCTTGTGCTCTCAGCCCCTCTCATGTGAGTGGCAGGCACTTGTGCTTGCAGCCACTCTCATATAAGCGGCAGGCGCTTGTGTGCCCGCTGCTCACACAAATGTCATGCAAAACCATCCCCTCTTCCCCCCCCACCCCCGTGCCGGGCCGCCAACCCGGAAAGTTGGGGACTCCTGTTGGGGACTGCTGTAAATGGTCTCAAACAATCCTGAATTTAAGTATCTTAAGCACATATTTCTTAATTTTAAAATAAAAATCAATTTTAAAATAAAAATCAATCTATTTACTTGAATACACACTATTTACGAATATGACTTTTTAGTTGAAAAATATTTTAAATGGGTTTGTTTGTGTTCTGATTTTACATTTTTTAAAAAATAGTTGTATGTAAGTGATCTTGCATTTCTTACCCATTCGGACTACAGGGCAACTCTTCTTGCATTCCTGGCGACATTTCTTTGGCTTACATTTATCATGGTTCACAATAGCAATTCTTGTTAGTTTATCAGCCATAGTAAGGATTTACAGATCATGCACATACACAAACTAAGGATTCCAAAGTGATGGTTCTAGAATAAAAGAACAAACAGAAATAATAAATATCCAGGAGGCACTGAAGAAAAGTAGGTATCAATGATCCACTCACAAAGTAAAGTCAAAGAATAAGCATGCTTGGTGGGAGAAGGTGTATCATCTCACTTTTGCATTGATCTCTGCAGGAAAAGCTAAAATCAACGTAGCCTTTCTTCCATGGCAGTGCCTTCTGTGGTACACTATTTAAAACCAAACTCCACAGAATACAAATCTGACTGCTTTCCAGCAATACAAACAATATATGAACTATGATACAAGAGTTTTTGAAAAAGCTCAGTTCTTAAGTTGTGACTTTCAATAGCTGATGTCCATTTAATCTGATAAACTGACTGCTTAAAGTTGAAAAGTACGTACCTCTTATCCATATTTTTTCTCATATACTCCTATCGCCAGATGTGACAAATTCTGAATGAGATCTATAGTCATATTAGTTTTTTCAGAAGGAACATGATATACACAATAAAAAGAAACAAAGGCAGTCATCATTTCATGGCTCTATTCCAAGTATAAGACTTACTTAAATAATTAAAATACAAAGCATTTTGTATATTGTATAAAACTCTAGAGGCTTGATGCTCTCTGAATTTGGTTATTTGCTTGCAGACATTTCATTGTCCAACTAGGTAACATCATCAGTGCACTGATGATTTGTCCTAGTTGCATTAGCTATTCTCCTGGTAACATCACAGCAGCATTGGTTGCCCTGACGTTATCTAGCTGGGTAATGAAATGTTTTCAAGTGATCTCAGATAGCAACAGGGACTGCACAGCTCAATCCTGAGCTACATATATTCTTTTCTACTGGGACTACCTAAAACTGAAAACTCTATTTTCTTGTTTACTGAATTTATAGCCACTATTCTGCCAAAATATGGTGTTCAGACAGCATTTAAGTGTATCTGTATCAAAGTCTAAATCAAAAACCAATTAGTAGTATTTGATCTAGTACACAGAACTGCAGATAATATATATGCTTTGAATAGCCTAGTTGAATTTTACATTTTTTCACCACAGAAAATACATAGAACTTTCATATAATACAGTAATTTTATTGATTTTTAAGAGTTATTTAAATGAGTTTTTGTAGATAATCAGTGGACTGTAAAACTAAATAACACTGATATTAAGCGAAGTACTGAGCAGTGCTGTGTTTGAAAGAAAAACAGATTCAGAGCACTGAATCTGCATAATGATACATACACTTTTCTTGGATTTGTGTGGCTACTATTTGCAGCTGTGGCACAATCTCAAAAACCATCCCTCCCCCCCCCCCCAAAAACCCCAAATGGTGTTGATTTAACTAGTTCCTGTCAGGTGCTATCTTGAATTAGATACACCCAAACTCCAAAGCAGTTTTTTTCTAAAAATTTAGAATGTTGCTGAACCCCAATTTACATTATCTCCAGACAGCCAACATTTTATCTGTTCATAATTATTAAACTACTGAAAATATGGAAAGCATTCACATACAATAGTTTACAACCACTTGTTGTAGATGATTAACATAACACAAGACTCATAAAGCAGTTTTATAATGTTAACTTACGTTAATAAACATTGCTGGTCAAAGAAAAATTATTTAAATATCTAGGGATTATATTACTACCAATTATCTCTACCTAATTAACACTGATAACTATGCTGTCTCTTTTATCACATTTCTAATATGAACACTGCAAGTTATCTGGTGAACATGAGTTTAACACTTTGCCATGATCATCTTTTTTATAGCATTGATTAAAACCATACTTATTTACTTCACTAACATGGGTTCCAGCACAGGAGAAATTCAAAGCTTAAACAAATATAATATCTAAAAGCAGAGGTAAACAATAGCCATCTTGATGGTCAAATCAAAAGGATTTTATTAGGACCAGAAAAGATAACAGATAAGAGGGAAAGGGACATTCTCTAACCAGGGTGCCACAGCTGGGGGAAGGGGGACCCTTCTGATTAAAAGTATCTTGAAATAAGCCGGTTCTTGAAAAAGAGTTTTGTCGAAAATAAATGCTCTCTGTATTATATACTTAGAAGACCTAAATTTACCAAGAGAGAAGAGCTAAGGGATTCACTGTGGTGTAACACTGCGGTGTCATAGTTAAAAGTGCCGGATTGGAATCAACTTTAAGTCTTCTCAACTGTTTAAGTTTACTGAGAGATTTTGCGGCCGTCATTTTTTCCTTGCCCAACTGTTAAGAGGATGAAGGGCTGCAGAGGCGATCCAAGCATGTGACATTGAGCAACTCAGAAAGCAAAATAAACGTGCTCTGGAGATGAAGAAGAGGTGTCAATGGAACCGCGGCAGTACAAATTAGGGATTGTTCTACCTTCTCGCACGCGAGGCTCCCTCTCTTTCACCGCGACAGGAAAGAAGCCTCAAGGCAGCTGGACAGCCGCGGCCCAGCCAGCCCTATCTACAGCCACCAAGCCCACTCCACCTGATTGGAGAAGGAGCGGACCGGGCCCAACTACCGCTATACGCTAGCTCCACTTACCAGAAAAAATTAAGAGGCGGTAAGAAGACAGATCTCCCGTCTGAGATGGTAAGAACAAGAAGGGGGCTACGAATGAAACACTCTCAAGGCCCCGTGGCTCACAGGTGGACACGGGAACAATGTGCTCCGACTGCCACCCGGCCAAAATGGCCGCCACCCTTAAAGGAGGAGCCGGCGCCTCACACTATAGAGATGAAATCTATGATGAGATATACACAGCGCCATAGACAAGACGAGACGCCGGAAGTGCAAGCGAGAGGCGGCACTCTGCCTGACATCATCACTTAGCGACCGGGTGGCGGGGAGGAGACATTGCTAGACGATCAGTTAACCGAGAACTGGAGAAAGTGGAAGGGTGTGGCCAAAAAGTAGGTAGCGCTGTTACCGTAGCGGGACGTGTAAGTAAGTCTTCTATCGCGTGCTACTACTGGACGTTAGAGAACGTTTAGTAACCATCTTCGTTTTGGTTTGCTGTTAACAGACAGTCTTGTTAGTCTTGTTTCACACCATATAGGGATCTCTTAAAACAGAAAAATTGAAGTAGCCTTCGGTATTTTTCAAAAAAGACATTAAAAAAGTATTTAAAAGCTTAGAGCGAAGAAAAAAGCGGAGAAAGCTGTTGCAGAACGGAGGCTATTCCGCACCTAAGCGGACCATCCTTGATGCTTTGACTGAAGTTACAAGCAACATTAGGAGAAGGAAGATAGGGTAGGGTAGAAGCCTCTGTCGTAGCTTTGCTACACGTGCGCATTTTTCTTTGTATCTGGTATCTACTAACGTACACAAATCCATCTGATTACTATAAGGGTGAAGAGGGAGCAACATTAATAAAGTGTTATATATAATGCATCTATGAGGATTCTCAGTCATCCAGGTAGAGTTGTCTGGAAGTTGAATCATGGCAAATGGACTTTTCTTTTTGATATTGAAACGTTTTGCTGCTTGTACAAGTAGCTTCTATATATATTCTTAAAAAACATACAGAGGGAAGATAGAAAATGTGAATGTGCCATGCAAGTAAGGAAGTAGAGAGAGATAAAAAAGATAAAGCAGAATAAGAAATAAAGAAGGTTGTATTGGAATTTAATTGAAAACAGGTATTTTTTTCCACTGTGTCTGTCCCATGATCAGCAATATCTCTTGTCATAAACCAGTCATATTTTAATTTCTGGTATAAATGTATCTATTTAGGGCTTTGGGGCCAGATCATTTTCAGTAATCAAATTCTTCCATTATCTTACCAGGAACATTGTTTGAACAATGGTTATGCTTCAAGATAGTGATTTATGGGGATTATTATGCCTCTTGTCATATACTACACCTGAAATATGCTTGAAATAGGGAAGTCAAATTTTGTTTTAAGATCAAATCTCACTTAAGTAGAAGAAATAATTTACATATTAGATATCCCAAAGTATCCTCAACCAGTTTATGGAAACCCATCCACTCTAGAATTTCAAATAACTGCAATGAGATTATTAATTTGACTTTAATTAAAGTACAGATAACTAATGATATAAGTAATTGAAAATTTTATTTTGGCCTTATTCTTTGGCAGCAAAATAGCAATTTCCCCCCATTTCATTTATATGAGGCTGTTAGTGGAGTTCTTTGTAATAGTAAAAGAACTTTCCAGCATGAGTGTTGAAGCCTGTTGGACCCAATTTTTCCTACAGTTTGTAAACAAAATCATATCTGCAGTGAATTAGTTATCATGGCATTGACAGCTTGTGCTGGAGATAGCCAATAAAATGCCTTGCCAAATTGTGATATCTACATCTCAGTTAAAGAAGTTCATTAAGATACATTAATTAGAATTTGGATATTCTGTAGATCTTGGCCAACCCTGGACAAGTTCAAGTTCTGGACCTCAGAGAAAGCATGGAGCTCCAATTGCTCTTTGTACCCTATGAATCTGATGCTTAAAAGTGTGTAAAATGCTTTGCAACACATAGGAAGATTTAGAAGCATCTATTTTTTTAACTGTTAAATCTACCGTGTTATTTGCATAACCATTTGTTTTATTAGGGAAGAAATTTAAAATTTCCATGCATGTGGAGATGACTGGGGATAACTTCTGAAGCCTTGCAAATGATGCATACAGTTATTGACTGGTCTAACCTTACATTTCTGGACAATACTTTTTTTAAAACACTGTCTAGATCTATTCTAGTCTATATACCATCCAAGGATTAAGACCGAAACACTCATGATCATTATGACTTGTACTGCTTACTGGATAGTGGAGCTATTCAGTAACTGTTCACTGAATTTGTCCTATAGTGACTCTTGGTAACATTGAACATGATATTCTCCTGTTTCCTTCTTTATCCTCAGTATTATATCTAAACTTTTGATTAAGTTTCCAAAGGCAATATTCTGTATATTATTTCTATTCTGCCCCATTATTTTGGCTTACCCAAAGAGTTTAAGTTTTATCTTTTATACTGTATAAAATATATCTGCCACATGCTATCTTCAGGAGACACTATCTAGAGTTTGGACATTATTGCCCTCAAATTCTCAAGTCTCCCTGCAGTTTTACAAAAAGACTGTGGACCTCTTGAACAAATAGTTGGATTCAGTTCTAAAGTAGGTAAGAATTCAGAAACTTAATTCAGGAGAAATAGCTCTCTGGAAGGTGGCTGATTTAAATAATGTTGTACTGTACAGTTGTCAGATGAGATGGTATTTTCTCTGTAGAACCAAGTATACAACTTAATAATACTGTTTCTTTATTTTCAGGGAAAAATAGGCAGGAATAGAATTTAGAATAGAATAGGTATAGAATAGAATAGTGTGATTGTACACCCAAGGAATTTGTCTCTGGTGCATATGTTCTCATACATGCAGATAACAAAGTGATAAGTCATAGATCATAAATCATAGTTACAATCATAAATTATAAGATACAAACAATGTTGCCTTTGTTACCTTTTCTAGAGTAATTGGATCTGTGCTATGCTGTACTGTTCCAAAACAGATTTCTCTAGTGTTTACATAATGGTTGTCTCTGATGGTGGCTTCTGCTGATGTAAATGTAGCTATCCAGATGCTAATGTAGCTAGCAAATCTGAAGTTATTGCAGTTTTGTGTCAGTTGCATATGGTTGCAAGTATGCAAGTAGTCCTCAACTTAAAACAGTTCACTTAGTGACTGTTTGAGGTTACAGTGGCACTGAAAAAAGTGACTTACAATCCTTTTTCACGGTTATGACCATTGCAGTGTCCACATGGTCATGTGATTTATGTTAAGATGCTTGACAACTGACTCACATTTATGACAGTTGCAGTATCCCAAGGTTATATGATCACTTTTTGCAAACTTCTGACAAGCAAAATCAATGGGGAAGCCAGGTTTACTTAACAGCCACGTTACTAATTTAACAACTGCAGTGACTTCCTTAACAAATGTGGCAAGAAAAGTTGTAAAATTGAGCAAAACTCAATAAATTTCTCACTTAGCAACATAAATATTGGACTCAATTGAAGTTGTAAGTTGAGGAGTACCTGTATTTTGGGGAAACAATTCCATGCTGCTATGAATCTTTAAATCCCTTAATGCCATTTCTTAAAGGACTTCATGTGTAACATCTGGATCCTGCACTAAGAAGAACTCCCTTTGGGCTCTTAGTTAAGATCAATAATATTGGATTATAGTAGGAACAAGGTATTCTATAGCAAAGACTCCAAATCTTTAGAACACCAGGTCAAGCTTTGTTCTGTCCCTTCATCTATGGACAATTTTCCCTTTAAGGCTGTCTTTGATATATTTCATCTGCTATCATAATGGCTTTATTTGGTAACTCATTTTTCACTTATAAAAAGATTGTTTTTGGCAGGTATAAATAAATCAGAATGTAGCAAATTTGTAAACAATAATCTACATACACAGAAATCTAATTACAAATACCTGTATTATTTCTGTAATACAGTTAAGTCATGATTTGATTATGACTTCCTAAATATTTGTTTTCTAATCCTGTAGCTAGGGAAACTTTCTCATTAATGTCATGGGAAGATTCTGTTTTTTAACAATAAAGGACCATATTATTAAAATGGAGAATGGCTTTCTAAAAGAAAATTAACACGTGGCCACAAACCACAGATTCTTGACATTTTAAATAATGTAAAAACAGTTTGGAAACAAGATCTAATGCACTGGAAACTGTTCTTGCTATTAATATATTTGAAATCACTCTAGTAACTGTAATTAATACACTTTAAAGGTCTTTCTGAATTTTTTTCCCATTGTGTAATTATCTTATAAACCATTCCTGTTAATATTTATTAATAATACAGTTAACTCTCTAAAGAATAATTTTATTCTTTTATTTTTATGTTAAATTTATGTAATATCAGCAAAAATATAATTGATATGATTTCAGCAAAAATTATCATGATGTTTAATGTACGGATGACTCCTTTACTCTATAACTTTTAGTTATACTCAGATTCATCACTGATTATTTTCAAGTATAAAATAAATTGGTTGAATCATCAATTATGTAAGAAAAATAGGCATTTTTGATAATTCTGTTTTTTCAAGGATTTCTTGATGGAACTATGCCGATTATTCATTTTAGCTTTGTAATGGCTTTGAGCTAAGAGACAGTCCCATTGTTGAGTTTTATCTATGGGAAAATATTAAGTCACATCTCCTGTTCTAGGTCCTATTTTATGTTCTTCTACATTGATGCTTCTCAATTAATGAGATCTCTCTCACACTAATGATATATAGAAGTAATCTAGATATGTTACAGTTTACTGCCCCAATGATCAAAAAGGGATGGGAAGAAAGATAAGAGAAAGAGGAGGAGAGCAACTAGTCAAGTGTGTGCCAGTGAGGCAAAAGGAATGTCTCAGCAGTAAGTCTAGGTTTTGAGCAACTTCTGAAACACTTCAGCTTAGAAGAGAAAATAAAACAATCTTCATTACATGTTTCTAATAATTTGCATTTTTTAAAAATTCAGTGTCAAGGAAGTACTATTATATATAGTCCCAATTAGCTATCATTGATATTTTATAGTTTTAATAGTAAAAAATATTCACAATTAGTATTATTCAATTTACTCTTCCTGATAAATGTAATACCAGGATCTCTCTCTCTCTCTCTCCCTCCCCCCCTCCCTCCCTCCCTCCCTCCCTCCCTCTCCCCTATATATTTGTGTGTTTGTGTGTTCTAAATATACAGTATGTATATATTTTCCTTTATCGATATATATGTTCTGGAAAAGTGAGATGTTTGTTTCTGTCTTAGTGGGGTCCAGGTTCTTTGAGAGACTGATTTATGGAATCATAAAAAGTTGAGAACTGTTTGTATTTTTCGGGCATTTGAAATGGGAAAGAAAAAGAAATATTTTTTTTTAATTTGCATCTGTTTGATTTGTGAGGTCTTATAGCTTGCTAATTTCCAGAGCATCATTTATACTTATTATTTGATATATATTCCATTTCTACTCTGATAGGAACTCAAGAAGGCCACAGTGAGTACTCAGAATAAGATTATTTTGTTAAATATGTGTATTATTGCAGTCTTAATATTTAACTGCCCCCCCCCAAACCCAAAGAAGTGCTGCAGCCCAAAGAAGTGTTAGAGGCAACTATTATGCATCCCATGGATTGCAAAAATAACAAAGAAGTCCTAGACTGAACCTCACCCAAAATATCGCTTGAAGTCAAAATTGCTAATCAGAGGCTGTCAGACTTTGGTCATGTCATGAGAGCTGACTCATCTGAAAAGTCAATCATTGCTGGGAGTGATCAGCGGAAAAAGGAGAAGGGGCCACCCTAGTATCCTCTGGCTGGACACTTTAAAAGATGACACTGGGATGATCATGGTGGATCTGAAGGAGATGGTGTGAGACAGAGGGGCATGAAGAGTGCTGAGCCATAGAGTGGCTGAGGGTTAGGCACGAATGAATGGCTGAAGATGACGAAGAATATTTAAGCCATTTAGCCATTTAGCCGTGACTCTCCAGAAACTCAAACCTGCATTCCAAAATAGCAAAAGGTTATTTTGCAGACAAGAAAGTAATAGAAATGCAAAAGATCTGCCTAGAACTTAGCCCTCAAACTGTATACATATGTCAAACCTAGTGTTTAAATCCTAGGCTTTTAGTCTTTAGGGTATCCTTTTTCTGTCCTTGAATGTTGGAGGTTTGCATGGTTCTGCTTGAACTGAAAAATCATTAGTTCTCACCTTGCCAGTTTCAATCCTTATACATAGTCTGTAGTCCACTTGTTCTAAAATATCCCTTGATTTTTCCATAAGATGATTTTGAAGAGTAATCCCGATTAATTTATAATCTTATATGATGGATCACTGATTCTACTACAACTTTTCCATTGCTCAAACTGAATGTTGGTTTTAGTAAAAATATTAGTTGAACTCTAACATTGTCTGATCAAATGATAAGCAGGACTCTTGTCCTTTCCTACCTGTACTTTATGGTCTCCTGTATTCATGTCCAGAGGCCTGGAGGGGTAGTTTAGACATTGACAAATTGTTTTATGATATTGTGGTAGAAGAGGGGAAAAGTACATTCAGGGAGTTTGGGTAAAGGATAGCATTTAGATGATTCTTTCCCTCATTGGTTATTCTGTGGGATATTTAATCTGCAGTAAAATCCCCAAAGTAATAATTTGGGGGTAAAGAGGACTATAGATAAGCCAATAGCACAGCCATATCCAGCTTTGTTTAATGGATTGGTAGGCATTTTTCTTGGTAAGCTTATGCAAGAATTTATTATAAGCATGATTAACCTCAATCCTTTTTTCCACTCTTGTATTTTGTTTTAAATTTAAAATTCCTAAACATACTCCCCGCTCTTGTTTTTATTAACCAAAAAATATGTTGCTGTTCTTAGTCTACAGCAATTATAAGCCATTAGGCCCATAAAATGAGAAACACTGGAAAAAATGAGGGTAGAAGAAGGTTACCTAAAATATTTCAACCAAAGATTGCTACATTTGTGGCAGACCTTTTCAACATTTTTCTTACTGTTCCTTTTGTCATGAATGTGGAATATTTTAAATATACTTTTAATTTTTTTTCCTAGTGAAAAATGACCACTGCTAACAAGACTCCCCCTGGTGCAGATCCAAAACAGCTGGAAAGGACAGGAACTGTTCGAGAAATAGGTTCACAAGCTGTTTGGTCTCTTTCATCTTGTAAACCGGGTAAACTGCAGAAGCATCTTGTTTATAAACAGGCCAGAAACTCCCTTAAAAAGTAGAGAGTAACTTTTGAATTTCATTTAAATTCAATATGACAATTAAACTTAAGTGTTTTAGGCATTTGGTGTCCAAGAAAATGATTCAGGAATATAGAAAGTGTGCTACTCCTTTTCACTAGCAAGAGCTTTTTAGATTACCATTAGACTATCTGTGGCCCTTGGGTCATCATTTCTGAGACCAGATTCTTCAATGCCTTAAACAATGACAGAGCTTCTAATGTACTAGAAAAATTCTTAAAAATTTGGGGAGATATTCAGAGATGCATCTGCCTTGAAAGTAGGCCATGCTGAACTGCATAAGATAGTAAAACATCAGCAGTTGACGATAGAAAATGGTTTATAAATGTTTACATTATAAAATGTTTTATAAAAATTGGCCAAATTTCAGTTCCATGTGGGTTATGGGGCCTGCATTTTAGACTTATTATTTAGTTAGCCCAGTGGTTCTCAACCTTTTTAATGCCGTGACCCCAACTGGTCATAAGTTGAGGACTACCCAACCGGTCGTAAGTCGAGGACTTTCCCTGCCCGGGAGCGCCGCACATGCTTGGTGCCGCCCCCTGCGCTGGCTGAGGCGTAGCTGACAAGCAGCAAAGACGGCGCAGACCGACCACCGGCTGGGCCACCAGCTGGCCCAGCCCAAGGCAGGTAAGGCACCCGCCGGGCCCCACACGCACCAGCAACCCTCCCTGCGCCCGCCGCTGCCCCGCAAGCCTTATCTTGGCCACTGACCGTTTGGGGCGGCAGCAGGTAGGCCCAGGCGCTCCTGGACGGCCACAGCAAGTGGCAGCGACGGCGCAGGCCGACCACCGGCTGGGCCACCAGCTGGCCCAGCCCAAGGGAGGTAAGGCATCCACCGGGCTCCATGCGCGCTAGCAACCCTCCCTGCGCCCACCCACCTCCCACCCCTGGCCCTCTTTTACTTACATTTTTAGTAGTTGCTCAGCAGGGAGGGGTGGAAACTTCCAGACAGCTCGCCTTCGCTGCAGACAACTTGCAGCACCATTTGCAGAATGGGACTTTTGGCGGGCTCAGCAGGACAGAGACAACCTGGACAATTCCTATTGGCTTTTGAAAGCCAATAGAATTAGACTCTATTCAAGAGAGGCTATTCTATTGGCTTTCAAAAGCCAATAGAATAAAAGGGAGTAGCCAGCTAAGGAAAAGGGGAAAAAAATGGCGAACTGCGTTGTTTGGCGACCCCCATGAAATGGTCGTTCAACCCCAAATGGGGTCACGACCCACAGGTTGAGAACCGCTGAGTTAGCCCATTTGATATATCTTGGTTGTAAATTTCACCGTATGATGTACCCTTCCATCCAGTTAAAAATCACAGACATAAGAGTTTTAGTAGCGTATAGGTACCGGTAGATAGATGCTCTCAATGTTCTAGTATTTTTCTATGCTTCCAAATGTAACAGGTTGCATGCATCCTAGGATAGATTATGTATCAGTTAATTTTGTTACATCGATTGCGTAAGAATGGTATACTGAAGACTGTCTGCTTCTATATATTCAAAATAGGATTTGGGGTGGATCAGTTACGAGATGATAATCTAGAAACATACTGGCAATCTGATGGATCACAGCCTCATTTGGTCAACATCCAGTTCAGGTAGTGAATATTTATGCTCCAATATTTTTCATTATTATGCATTTACTATTTTTAAAGAAAAATCTCTTATGCAATTTATACACACACACACACACAGATTCATGACTATTTTTTAAAGAAAAATTTCTTATGCAATTTACACACACGCACACACACACACACTAATCCATGACCCATTGGGTCATCATTTCAGAGATATTTCCCTACTGGATTCCTCAGTGCTTTCAGTGACAGAATTTCTAATGTTCCTGCACTCACTGGAAATGTTGGAATGCATTCAGAGAAATATCTCCCTTGAAAATAGTCCATGTTGAACTATATAGAATAGTCAAACATTTCATTTATTTTTATTTTTATTATTTTTTATAAACATAAAAATGTTTATAAGCATTATATTGTATTTTGCCCGCAACAACCCTGTAAGGTAAGTTTGACTGAGAGAGAATGACTGGCCCAAAGTCACCCAGTCAATTTTCATGGCTAAGGTGGGACACAATCTCCCTAGTGCCTTAACCACTAGACCAAACTCTCTCATTAGCAAACTGTAGCATAGGAAATGTTTAATGACGTTTTATACTATATCATGAACTATTTTATGATATGTTTTATGTCATAAATGTTTTATAAAATTTGCTAAATTTCAGTTCCACAGGAGTCATGGGTCCCGGTTTACTAGTCCTTTTGAGACACCTTAGTTCAAAAGCTATTGTCCTATGATACATCATTTTTCCCTGTTAAAAGTTATGGGAATGAGAGTTTTAGTAGTATACTAGACAACAGTGTCCTGTTGGGTCATCTTTTCAGAAATATTTCCTCATCAAATTCCTCAAAGCCTTCAACAGTGACAGATTTTCTAATGCACTGCCTTCATTGGAAAAGTTGGGATACATTCAGAGGTGTGTAGCACAGTCAAATATCAGCATGGGGAATGTTTTATAACATTTTGTATTCTGTCATAAACTGTTTTATGATAATGTTTATATAATAAAATGTATTATAAAATTTGCCAAATTTCAGTTCCAGGGGAGTCATGGGTATTTTGGATGCATTATGCATTTGAGGTACCTTAGTTCAACAGGTTTTGCCCTAGTGTGCACCCTTTCACCCACCCAGTTAAGGTTGCAGAAGCCAGTTTTAATAGTATATAGATACGGTGTATAATAGAGCAGTAAAGGAGCAGTAAAACACACACAGGAAAATTATGATATAAAAAGAATACTCTTCAAAGATTGAACATTTCCCTGTGTAAGGACCTGCCTCCATTTCTCTACCAAGAAAGCAGAACTCTTGAAATTGGCATCATTTCAAAAGGAACTTTTATTGTCAGGTGCAGAAAGCAGGAAAGCTAGGCAGGATCTGAGGACTTCCTGCTCAAATCAATAGGTTAAACCTGCAAAACAATAACTCCACCCCAACTGTCCATCCGGTCGGTTCAAACAGGCCAATCCACAGGTGACATCGAGCTATGGCAAACAACCGATAAGGTGCCTCTCTCAAGGTTGTTAGGTCTTCTCCAGTTCCTCCCTGTGCACTGAGATAAGGCAGATGGCCCCGAGGCATTCCTTTCATATCCCATAAAGGATACATCAAAATAGATGATGACTAGATGACAGTCCTTGACTGGTACCAAGTAGGTCTAAAAAAACTCTTCAGAACTCTGAGGTGCACTGGACTCGCCTGTCTGATATAATGTGTTGGGCCCCATGCAGCCGACATATATATAGTACAACTAATCTGTCTAAGGCTTTTGCAGTGGGAATCTTCTGGCAGGGTATGAAGTGGATCTGTTTGGAGTATAGGTCCATCACAACCCAAATGACAGTGGCAATTCTACTATAAAATCCATTGAGATCTCTCTCCAGAGTGCTGAAGGGCTGGCCACCGCTTGTAATAATCGTTTTCCCCTGTCTCTGCTTTGCCACTGCGCAGATGGGGCAGCTTGCCACATAGCTTTCAATGTCCTTTTTTTATAGATGGCCACCAGAATTGCCTTTTGGTCAAATGGAGAGTTTTCACAAATCCAAAATGCCCCGCCATTTTTGAGTCGTGGCAGAGTTGCATGATTTTTACTCTCTGGGGTTTTGGCACGTATAACTTTTCTCCTACCCAGGGCAGTTCGCCCCTCATCGAGAAAAGAGTCTTATGGTTAAGGAGCCATTCGTCAGTTTCTAATGCTCGTCTAAACTCGATCCCTGATTTGCTGTTCAAAGGTGGGTTTTTCCTAAGGTTTTCCTTTCTGGTGGTTGGAGCCTCTACATCACTGCTCCCCGACCTTGTTTTTTTTTGCCTGAGCTCTCATGGTTACAGGAGCCGCTAATTGTTTTGGGGTCATCAGAGTTTGATTACTTCGGACTAAGCTATTGTATTGTGGCAACAAGGCATCAGTTAAAAAGTTATTTCCCCCAGGGATGTACTTAATTGAGAAATCAAACCAGTGGAAATGCTGGGACCACTGAGCTTGTTTTGGGAACAATTTCCTTGGGGTTTTTAGTGTTTCAAGGTTCTTGTGATAGGTCCACACTTGAAAGGGGATTTTACTCCCCTCCAGAAAATGTCTCCATGTGAGCAGAGCCCATCGCACCACATACACTTCCTTTTCCCACACTGCTCACCTTTATTCCGTTTCAGTGAGCTTTTTGGATGTGTACGCGCAAGGTTGCAATTTTCCCTCCTGATTTTCTTGGAGCAGCACTGCCCCCACCACAACATCGCTAGCGTCTGCCTGAATGACAAATGGATTCTCCGGGTCTGGGTATTTTAACACCGGCTCAGCTAAAAAAAAGTCTTTTTAATTTCTCAAAAGCTGCTTGGCACTCCATAGTCCATTTTGATGGCTGACTGGGTTTCGGTTTTCCCACCCTTTTGTTTTTAGTAGATTTGTGATGGGGAGAGCAATTTGGGCGAAATAGGAAATAAACTGTCTGTAGAAATTCATGAAACCAAGGAAGCTTTGCAATTGCTTCCACATGCAAGGCGGTGCCCACTCCAACATTGCCCGTACTTTCTCTGGGTCCATTTCTATCCCCTGGTGGGAAATCCCGGTAACCCAAGAAGTCAATTTTTTCTTTGTGGAACCCGCACTTTGATAGCTTGGCATAGAGACGTGCTGCATGTAGCTTGTTTAAAACTGCTCTGACCAATTTGATATGCTCCTCCTTCGTCTTGGTGAATATTAGGATGTCACCCAAATATACCAGAGCCCCCTTGTACAAGTGCTCCTGGAGAACCTCATTTATCAGCTGCATGAATATTGCGGGCACCCCTTGTAATCCAAAAGGCAGGACTTGGAACTGGAAGCACCCCAAAGAGCAATTAAATGCCGTTTTCCACTGATCCCCTTTCTTTATCCTAACTCAGTAGTATGCTTCTCTTAAATCCAGTTTGGAGAATATTTTACCCTTGGAAAGGTGAGCCAGCATGTCCTTCATTAATGGCAAGGGGTAGACATTCTTGCAAACAGCGTTTAGAGACCTATAATCCACACACAGGCATAGAGACCCGTGCTGGCTGAATGAACCCCCACATTAAATTCTTTTCGATGAACTTCTGCAGCTCCTCAAGTTCTCTAGGAGTCATCGAATAGAGCTTCGGTTTGGGTAGTTTAGCTCCCAGCAGAATTTCAATGGCATAATCAGTGGGCCAGGGGGGGTAGTTCGTCAGACCTTTCCTCACTGAAGACTTCAGCCAGATCTCGGTATTCTTTAGGTATGCTTTCCAATGGCCTGTCGCTTGCACTTACCACCACCTCGGCCATTCTCTCCCCTCTCCTTTTCAATACCTTGTCCTGTGTTACAGCCTTCCTTTTCAGGAACCTCAATTCCCCCGTTCTCCAATTTATTCTCGGATTCCAAGTTTTCAACCACATCATCCCCCAAATCAGGAGCCATTCCATGCCAGGGGCTACAATGAATGTCATCGTCTCTGTATGATCCCCCATCGTGAGTTCAATTGGCCAGGTAGCCAGGGTGGCTGGAACTCCCCCTGAGATGGACCCATCTAATTGCCCAAAAGAGATGGGTTTCTTCAGTCTCCTCACTGGAATCCCCAAATTCCCCATTAGGATCAGCCTGATTAGGCAGCAGGTGCAACCCGAGCCTATTAATGCTTTTAGAGCTACTTTCTCTTCCATCTCTGGGCTGAATAGTTCTATGGGTCTGGTGAGGGCACGATGGGTCCACTTACTAAGGGTTCGTTATCCGAATCGCTGTCAGAGGTTTCCAGTGGTTTATCCGGTGGAGTCAGAGTTCCCCCTCCCTGTGATTTGGAGGGCTGGATCGTATGACTTCAGTGCCTCTCATGGAGGTCTCCCAGGTTCACGGTGGTGGCTTTCCAGGTTTCCCTCCTACGATGTGGTCTACCCTCATAATCGGTGCTTTTGAATGGCACTCAGCTGCTCGATGGCCTTCTTTGCCACATCTGAAACAGGTGCTTGAATGCAGGTTTGTGTTTGGGGTCTTTGCTGCCTCTTTTTTCCCTTCTGAGGGGGAGCATCTCCAGGTCCAGCCCATTTGCCGTTGGCTGCGTGTTAGGTCAATTTCGGCCTCTTCCACCATTATGTACCAGCTGTGGAGGCCTGCTGGATTCTCCTGGGCAACGCAAGCCTGGTAGAGGTTGTCGTTCAATCTGTCCTTGAACAGGCCAATCAAGATTTCCTCCAGCCAGTTGAGACGGCCCGCCAAGTCTCTAAACTTCTCAGTGTACTTGGCCATGTCATCTGCCCTTCTTTATGGTTTTGATGCGTTCCCTGGCTTTCTGATCAGCTAGCGGGTCCTCGAGCCTCCATCTCAGGGCTGCCATGAACAGGTTAAAATTATGGCGCTCGGGAGTGTCAGTGTTATGTAGGGACACCATCCACCGGGCAGCCGCACCTTCCAAGGCCAGGTTTATGATCCTGATGCACCCACGGTCCCCGGGGATGTCCCACCCATATTCATGCATGTAGCTCAGGACATGGGCTAGGAAAAAGCTCAATGCTGGGGCGACCCATCGTACTTTACCCC